CAGCCCTTATCCCCAGGAAAGAATGCCTGGATGCTTTGGCTTCGTGGTTCAGTTGGTTTGTCAGCCTGGAGAGTCCACTGGAAGCAAGAGCTTTCTGTGCTGGCACCTTTGGTGTGGGAGGAAGCTTTGTTTGTATGGAATTTTGGGAGTCGGGCTGTCAGTTGGGAGGCAGGTCTGAAAACAGGAAACAGCAGCCCTTATCCCCAGGAAAGAAAGCCTGGATGCTTTAGCTTGGTGGTGTACTTGTTGGGCCAGCCTGGGCACTCCATGGGCAGCAAGAGCTTTCTGTGCTGGCACCTTTGTTCTGGGAGGAATCTTCCTCCGTATGCACATAGTGCCCAGAGTGCTGCACCAACGGCAGGGGAGAGAGGGAAGGTCAGGCCTTTTTTGCTGGCTGGAAGGGCAATCATTGGTGGCAGGAGCCCCATTCCTAAATGGGCTGTTCGAGGCCCAAAAGTGAATACGGACGCAGATTCCTCCCAGACCAAAGGGGCCTGCCCAGAAAGCTCTTGCTGTGCACATAGTGCCCAGAGTGCTGTCTTGGTACCTATACAAATCTTGAGGAAAAGTTTAAAGTGGATAAATTTAACTGTTTTGTAACTACAAATAAGCCACTACCCTTCCCCCACCCTTTTCAATAAGGGAGGGACAAAAAGCAGAGACTATGGGGTGAGATAACAATTTACTAAAAGCACAAAGCAATGGAATACGACATGCACAATAACAACAGCAGTATTAATAGCAAAAGTACACAAAAAGAGAAGGTGTTTTACCCTCAAAAGGGTGTTTGTCACTGGGAAGGGAGTGAACCTGGTGAATAGGTGGCTCCTTCTAGGTCACATCCACATATGCCCAGACAATATGGCAATTGTTCCCATGTGCCACCCTTGTGGCCATTGAAAATAATGGCAAGATGATGGGGAAGCTCCTGTGGCTAATGTTTCCTGCCCCCAGCCAAAAAACAGTGACAAACAAACCCCCTGAAAGCTAAGTTGTCTGAGCCACTCCACTGGGTTCAGTATGGCTGCCTCTGGCGCTGCTTCTGACTCCATTTTCCAACTTTGAGGTGAGAAGAGTTGTGCTGGTTTAAAGGTAAACCGGCAGGAGAAATGAACCCAACTCAAAAAAGATTATAAGTCAGAATCACAATTTAATAAAAATAATAAAATAAATACAATTATACGGACAAACAATTGGTTTTAACCCACAAAACCCAGATGTATAACCCATGCCCTGGGGCATGAACAGAATGGCGTTTGTTGGCCCCCGTGCTGAGCCCCACATGGTCCCCCTGAGTCTAAAGGTAAAGGAAAGGAAGGGCTGTTGGTGAGAGTGCTGGTCACAATCTGGTTGAGAGCAGTGGTTGCAGCCCGGTCGAGGTTCTGGTGAAACTAACCCTGCAGCATAACAAGAATCAGTGACAATATTAACAGGTTGTTCAGAAAACTTTCCCAAGGCAATACGAATGGCAGCCAGTTCCAGAACCTGCACAGAGCATTGGTTCATGGTCTGTATTTCTCGTTCCCATTGTCCTGTATCAGGATTTACCCAAGTCACTGCAGCCTTTTGTGATCGCCCAGATGCATCTGTAAAGACTGTGAGGCCTTTTACTGGCTCACTTCTGCATCTAGTCGTGGCTCTTAACGGTAAATTACTGATTTCTGCCCAAAGTCTGTGCTTAGGGAGATTGACTGAAATGTCACCATCAAAACCTGCTAAGGCAGCTTGGAACTCGGCTTCCTCAGCCAGCATCCAAGCTAAATTGTCCTTCGTGGCTGGAATGTAGATGACCGCTGGATCCCTTCTGTCCAGTTCCTGTAGTCGTCCTTTGCCTTTAATGACAAGCTTAGCAAACATTTCATTAACGGTCCATACAGTTTTAGGTGGTGTGTGGGGCAGAAAGAGCCATTCTAGAACCAGCAGCCGGTCTTTCTCAGTCTGGTCCCACTGAAACAAGACTGCAAATGGTTGATACCTGCTGGGAACTAAGGCCAGGCAGATTTGCAGTTCAGGATCTCTCCTTCTGCTCTGCCTATTTTCTATCGCCTTGGCACAAATGTTCAACGCCTGTTTGGCCTCTGCTGTCAGAGCCCTATTAGATGTTAGATCAGAGTCCCCCTTTAGTAACACAAAGAGAGGGTGTAGCTCCTCTGTGGTTAAGCCTAGAATAGGCCTTAACCAATTAATGGCTCCCAGGAGTTTTTGCAACTCATGTAAGGTTAGGGTGTCTTTTACCTCGAGCTGCAGTGGCTGTGGGGAAATCTCTTGTTGTGTGATTCTCCGTCCAAGATAGCTCCAGGGCTGCAATCACTGGATTTTCTCTGCTGCAACCTGCAAGCCTGCTTCTTGGACAGCATCAGTCAAAGCAGTAACAACAATTTGCAGTTCATGTTCTGTGGCCATGCTAATTAAAATATCATCCATGTGTTAGTAGATTATTGCAGAGGGAAAACACTTTCTGATGGGTTGAATAGCGTTTGCCACTACTGTTTGACATATGGTAGGACTGTTTTTCATCCCCTGAGGGAGAACAACCCAGTGATACCTTTGCATAGGCTGTGAGTTGTTCAATGCTGGGATGGAAAATGCAAACCTTGGGGCATCTTCGGGGTGCAGAAAGATGGTAAAAAAGCAGTCCTTTAAATCAATTATTGTTAGTGGCCAATTCGCTGGAAGCATAGCAGGTAAGGGTAACCCCGGTTGCAGTGCTCCCATCGACTCAATGACTGCGTTTATTGCCCTGAGATCCTGGAGCATCCTCCATCTGCCAGTCTTTTTGGGGATGCAAAACACAGGAGTGTTCCAGGGACTGTTTGTTGGCACAATGTGTCCTGCTTCTAATTGCTCTTTTACAAGCATTTTTTAAATGTTCAAGCCGTTCCTTTTTCATAGGCCATTGATCTACCCAGACCGGCTGGTCACTTTTCCAGACTAGCTTAATAGGTGCTTGGGATGGTGTCAGAGACTGAAATGGTTAATGATTTATGCATTCTAAGAGACTTTTTGCAGGCTTTTGACCTGCATGATACCTCTGATGAGCAGTCGGGCCCCTCCCTCCCTCCAGTGCTGAAGGTGTGAAGTGCTGAGCTGAGCTTGCAGGCTTTTGACTTGCATGATACCTCTGATGATACCTCTCCCTCCCTCCAGTGCTGAAGGTGTGAAGTGCTGAGCTGAGCTTGCAGGCTTTTGACTTGCATGATACCTCTGATGAGCAGTCGGGCCCCTCCCTCCCTCCAGTGCTGAAGGTGTGAAGTGCTGAGCTGAGCTTGCAGGCT